GCTGTGTGTAATATAAGTGCAAACTAAAGTTTCTTGTGAAATATCGAATACATATATAATACTAATAATCAAATCTAGGCCTGCTTAACTATTTTAGCATGATTTTGGATTGATAGGAAAGGGACAGAGCAAAGTTAAAATTTGTTAAAGGTCTTACCTTGCTTGATATGGATGAGGAGTAGAGAAATAGAGTATTTTGATGAGAGATGTTTTAATTTCTTTTTCTAAGCACTAAACAGGATAGCAAAGAACACTGAAAAATGATAGATGACTCATTGTTATAAAGAATTGTCATAGATGTAAAATGTACCAGACAACATAGCAACTAAAATGTAAAACAAAAACTATGTATTATTATGCAAGGAAAGCCTGGAATATAATTAAAGTGAAAAAGGTCAATATGATTCTATCTAGAGGACAAAACTGATGGGGGAGAGGAGATGACAGAAAAAATAACATAATAACAGAAGAATTGAAGCACTAAACTTAAGAAAAAATGCATTTACTTATACCTCCAAAGCAAAACAAAATTTTTTTCTCTATGTTCATGGAACATTAACACAACATGTACTTGGCCACAAGAAAAACCTTAAATTTCGAGAGAAGAAAGAAAGTAGGTTTACAAACCAGATGGTCGTTGTTGTTGTTGATATCAACTCATAGCTACCCTATGCACATCAAAATGAAACACTGCCTGGTCCTGGGCCAGTCTCACAATTGTTGCCATGCTTGAGTCCATTGATGCTGTCATTTTGCAAGTCCATCTCGCTGGGGGTCTTGCTCTTTTTCTCTGACCCTCCACCTAACCAAACATGATATCCTTCACCAGCAACTGGTCCCTCCTGGCAATATGTCCTAAGTATGATTTGATTTTTGGCCATCCTGGCCTCCAAGGAGCACTCTGGCTGCACTTCTTCCAACACAGATCTGTTGGTTCTTTTGGCATCCCATGGTACTTTGAATATTCTCCTCCAACATCATAACTCAAAAGCATCAATTTTTCTGTGGTCTTCCTTATTAACTGTCCAGCTTTCCCATGCATTTGAGGTTATTGAAAATACTATGGCTTGGGTCAGGCTCACCTTAGTCCTCAAGCTGACATCTTTGCTCTTCAACATTTTAAAAATGGCTTGTGCAGCAGATCTGCCTAATGTAATACGTCATTTGATTTCTTGACTGCTGCTTCCGTGAGTGTTGATAGTCTATCCAAGAAGAATGAAGTCCTTGACAACTTCAATCTTTTCTCCATTGATAAGAATGTTGTTCCAGTGGTGAGGACTTTTGTTTTCTTTACTTGAGATGCACAAACCAGATTATCTGACTATAAATCAATAAAATTAGAAGTATATAATAAGTACTGGTGTGGCACTGTGGGCTACTGCGTCAGACTGCAAAGTCATTTGAACAGCAAGGTCGGTGGATCAAGCTCACCAGCTGCTCCTTGGAAACCCTATATAGGGTCTCTATGGGTCAGAATCAACTAGACGGCGCTTAGCAACAAAAACAAATGGTATATGGTGAAAACTCTAGGACTTGAAATACGAGTAACATATTTCTTGATACTACAAATAACATAAAAGTTAACATAAAAAAGATGACTACATACTATGTAAAGTACTTATGAAAAAAGATACCTTTATTTGTAATCTAGGTTATACAATGTAACCTGTACTGACTCAAAGGAAAAATTATAGCCTTAGGTGTGTTGTTTAATTAAAAGAAGAAATAATAAAAACAAAAGCTAAATTATCATCTTAGTAAATTTGAACAAGAAAAATTAAACAAAATAAAATAAAGTGTTATTATTGTGGTGTTAAATGCATTGAGTCAGTTCCAACTCATAGTGACTCTACACAACAGGACAAAACAATGCACAGTTTTGTACTGTCCTCACAATTGTTGTTCGGTTTGAGCTCATTCTTACAGCCTCTGTGTCATTGTAGTTCATTGAAGGGTTTCCTCTTTTTCCACTGACTCTCTACTTCACAAAGCATGGTGTCCTTCTCCAGGGACTGACCCCTTCTGATAATAAGTAAACATGAGTAAAATGAAGTCTCACTAAGGAATAGTCTCATTATACTTCTTCCAAGAAAGATTTATTCATTTTTATGACAGTTCAAGGTATATTCCTTTTTCTTTGCCAATACTAGGGGTAGGGAACAGCCAGCCCACGGACGGGCCTTGTAATCCCATGAAATCATGTGGTCTGGCTTTGCCAAGGCAACCACAGGTGGTACTAGAAATTCAGTCAATCGAGGAACTTTTCTTATAGCAACACAAATTTATATTGAGTGATGTCATAAATATCCAAATGGCCCTTGACAGGAAAAAGGTTCCCCACCCTTGACCAACACCATAATTCAAAAGACATCAATTCATTTTTGGCCTTCCTTATTCATTGGGTAGCTTGCACATGCATATAACATGATTGAAAATACCGTGGCAGTGGTCAGGACTATCTCAGTCCTCAAAGTGACATCTTTATACTTTGAAACTTTAAGGAGATCTTTTGCAGCAAATCTGTCCAGTGCAGTACCTCTTCTGATTTTCTGACTACTGCTTTCATGAACATTTATAGTGGGTCCAAGTAAAAGGAAATCCTTGACAAGTTCAGTACTTTAATTATTTATCACCATGTTACTTATTGGTCCAATTGTGAGGATCTCTTTCTTTATAAAATAAACTAGGAAGAAGGAAATAAAAATCCAGAATCACAGATCTATCATATCAAAAACAAAAACTTGCATATTTCTAGGCTAATCAATGCAAATATCAGATATTTTGGGAATTGGTATATGGAACGGCTGGAATATGGAAGACTAGATAATAATTTGCATATCTGACTCGTGGTGTTTTTGAAGAATATTAATATATCTTGAACTGCTAGAACAAACACATTTATTTTGAAAGCGATGCAGCCAGATTGCTCCTTGGAAGTTATTGTGGTAGAACATCATCTCTTGTACTTTGGTTATGTTATCAAGAGGACCAGTCAGTCCCTGGAGAATAATACATTATACTTGGTCCAAGTGGAGGGTCAAAAAAAGAGAAGAAAAACCCTCAACAAGATGGATTGGCACAGTGGCTGCAATAAAGGGCTCAAACATAACAATTGTGAGGACACTGCAGGCCTAGGCAATGTGGCGTTGTGTTTTACAGATGATCACTGTGAGTTGAAACTGAATCAATGTCACCTAGTAAAAACAACATATATGGAAATAAGCCCTGGGAGGCCAAATGGTTAAGCACTCAGCTCCTAACCAAAAGGTTGGTGGTTCAAACACACCAGCTCTATGGGAGAAAGTTTACTTTAGATGGCAACAGTATGGAATCACCTCGTTGGCACTGTTTCCTTTTTGTTTTATATGTGGAAATGGAGGTAGCCTATGCATTACTTGTAGGTAATTTTGCTCTAGTCACTAATTTGCATCCACCTCATTTTAGTAATTATTCAATATTCCCATCTTAATTTTTTCTCCATCTACTTCAAATCCTATTATGGAAGCTAAGAGGCTGAATTGGATGAGGAGCAGATATGATTGGTATGGTAGATCATCCTAAGGCTGGAGGATATTAGTAGTCATATTACCTCCAGTTAAACTCCTACTCTAATACACATTTTCTAGAAGGAAATTTGTGAATCTTTGGAGTGATAAATCACTGTGAAAAATCTCATTAAAAAAAGACAAGCAGACTCCAAACATAACTAGATTTTAGTTTTATGCATTAATGGAAATTTTAGAGCAAATGCATGTTAATATGCTGTATTTCTTTTACGATTTTCTTTTCACTCGTCTGTTTTATTCTCCACAACTCTCTACAAAACTGTCAATGTCAACATCAGTTCTTAGCCTCTGAGTCTTAATAAGAAGTAAGACTTCTTGTTAAGAAGTGTGTTTATGTGGTGTAGTGGGTAAGAGCTGGGCTACTTACTGAAAGGTCAGCAGTCTGCTTCTGTGAAGATTCCAGCCTTGGAAACCCTCTGGAGAAGTTCTATCCTGTCTCACAGGGTTCTATGAGTAGGAATCGACTCTATGACAACAGATACAGTGGTTTTGGTTTCGGTTTAGCTAAAGCATGAAAGAAGGGAAGGGAGATTGATGCATTGGATAACATCTTCAGTAACAATGTTTTGTGCCTGCCTATTATGTTTATTTTTGTTTGGAGGCCTTTTGAATTCTAACGGACCAAGAAACAACAAGGAATAATAAAATCAAGCTTTCTTTAAATTACATTTATTCTACTAGTTTAAATTTCTTGGGTTTGGTTTTTGTTTTTTTTTAAGTTCTATTTGGAGGGATGCCATCTAGAACATTTCTAAACTCTATGAATCATATTGATGATGCCAAAAGATAAAATTGTATCTATACATGATTCCTTTTTATGTAATTTTACCTATTTTTCACATTTATGAGAATAGAACTATGCTTTCTTATGATTAAACTTATGAGTGTTTCTCTTTCAGCAGACAAACTAGAGAAATCATTTTATATTTCCATTCATTTTCTCTCTTGATAATGTTAGCCTAAAAATGAAATAGCAGGAAAATGTTACCTCTTTGGAGCAAAGAACATGATGACATTTTCTCCATCAATATAATTTGTTGATGGATATCTGGAAGCTTTTTCATTTATCTATTTAATCTTGAAACCAGAGCTTTCTATTGGACCTAGCTTCATTTCAAATCACTGTCAAATGTATGTCATCAACATTTTTGTCTTTGGCATTCCTTAGTTATGTACCTTCGTCTTTATATGTCAGCCTTTTTAAAAATGTCCTTTAAGTGGGTGTGTTCTCTCATTCTTGGTAGTTTTTCCAAACAACAGAATGTTCTGTGACATTTATGAAGTAGCAAAGAGTTGTAGCTACTGTTCATTTTACTTTTGTGTGCATCCTTGTGGATTTTTCAAAAAAATTTCTTGTGGTTTTGAAGTGTAAAAAAACAACAAGAAGTTGAAATGTGAACATGACCACGTCTTTGTTATTGTTTCTGTCTATAGGATGAATATAAACCAGAAAAGGCCCTGTCTGAAGACGACTTGAAAAACGCTGTCAGTGTGCACCACGCATTGGCGTCCAAGGCCACGGACTATGAGAAGAAGCCAAATGTGCTCAAACTCAAAACTGCCGATTGGAGGGTCTTACTTTTTCAAGCCCAGTATGTTTCCTTTGTTTCTTTTCTTTTTTTTGTTGGCATATGCTACCTGATTCCAAGCAGCAGAATCAGGATCTGCAAGGGATAATTTCCAAGTCAAGAGTCAAAGCTCCTAACTGGTTCCATTCAAGACAAGACTAGAATAATGCATAGAAACTCTGAGCTCAAATTTTCAGTCTACTGAAAAATGTTATTGTCATTGTTTAATACCATCAAGTCAGTTCCAACCCGTAGTGGCTCTGTATAGGGTTTCTGAGGAGTGGTTGGTGGATTTAAACTGCCAACCTTGCTGTTCAAATTGACTTGCAGTCTAGTGCATTATCCTGCAGCACTACTCCAGGACTCCACTAAAATACAGCCTTGTGGCTATTTTCAAATACAATCTCAAGATCTCCAAATCCTTATCCATAAAACAAGGATTTTAGTAGATTAGTTCTATCCAACTGTGGATAAAATAGGCCTGGATTCAAATCACCGTTTTCTGACCTTTTGTCCTAGGATGTAATTTAACCTTTTTGAGCTTCAATTGTCCCAAATTTTAGGTAATAATGTTTACCTCGTAATGTTCTTGTAAGGATTATATACTTAAGTGTATGAAGTCTCTCACACAGTGTCTGGCATATCAAAGGTTATCAGTAAATGTAAATTTTCATCTTAATCTCTCTCCCCTCTTTTGGGGGGCTCTAATAGACCATGATTATAATAGAAGGAAAAAACCAATCATTCTGTGGACTAGGCATTGGCACGCATTGCCAGTTTACCAAAGAGTTAGTTCAGTGACAGCATACATGATTGGTCGTGTAACATTCCACATGCAGAATACTGGATTTGTGAATTGTGTAGCTTTGGCTTGTCAGAGCTGAGCCTGGAAAACAAGAAGAGCAAAGAGGGGACACACATAGCATCAGTGTCCATTGCAGACAGTGTCAGTCATTCATGGCATGGCTTGTCACTAGTATGCACTTGACATCAGAATCATCCGTAACAGCACTATTAGCTGATATCAGGTGGCATAGAATTGTTCAAAATCAGCATAATAAATACAAGTATTTAAATACATCTTGATCAGAGCATTGTAGAATCAAAAAAGAGAAGGCCCTTTGGTGATTTCGTGACTTTGAAATATCAAAGGTTTACAATCACTGGCATCAGGCAAAGGACAATTTGTAAGGTAACAAGTTAAATAGGATTGCATGTATATAGGAGTAGCAGTTTTCACACCACCAAGGAGCCATGTTGTTGTCAAGTGCTGTCGAATCAATTCCAACCCATAGCGACCCTGTATACGGTTTCCAAGGAGCAGCTGGTGAGCTTGAACCACCGACCTTGCAATTCAAACGGCTTTGCAGTCTGGCGCATTAACCCACAGCGCCACACCAGGACTCCAAGGGAGCCAGAGGCAGCAATATAATGATAGATATTAGTCAGCAAAACTCTTTCAAATTATTTTCTCAACTTTTTTTTTTTTTTTTTTAAATCTGGAAGACTGGATATAATTACTAAGGAGATCTGATTACTTCAGATAGAAATGATGCAGAAATCACTCAAATGAAATATGGAGCCAGAGAGATCAGATTGGAGGCATAATCAAACAAATCAAACCTATTGCCATCAAGTCACTTCCAGCTCATAAAAACCCTATATAGGACATAGAGTTTCCAAGGCTGTCAATCTTGAGGGAAGGTTTAAATGGAGCACCTGGTGGGTCTGAATCACCAACCTTTACTTAGCAACCTAATGATGACCCACTATGCCACAGGGCTGTTTAGAGAGACATACGTTATTGTCGTTAAGTGCTGTAGAGTTGATTTCAACCCATAGTAATCACCAAAGCTGGTGAGCAAGACCGATAGAGTACACAAGTGGGCACAAGTATATCCAAAGCAGGTGTTGTGCTCATTCCAAAGGAAGATAATCCAACAAAATGTGGAAATGATTGAACAACATTATGAATAGCATATACAAGTGAAATCTTGCTGATAATTAAAAATAGTTGCAACAGTATATCCACAGGGAACTTGCAAAAAAAATTCAAACCATATTCAGAAGAGAGCTTGAAATGAGGGACATCATTGATGATATCAAATGGATCTTGGTTGAATGAAGAGAATATTAGGAAGGATGTTGTTGTTGTTAAGTGTTGTCGAGTCAGTTCCGGCTCATAGCAACTCTGTGAGGGTTTCAGAGAGATTTCAGTGGTTGGTGTGTTTGAACAGCCGACCTTGTGGTTAGCAGTACAGTGCTTATCCTATGTTTATCTGTACTCCTTATTGACTATGCAAAGGTAGTCTACTATGTAGAACATGACGAATTATGGATAATTTTGTGAAAAGTGGGAATTCCTGGTCACCTAACTTTTGCTTATTCTGAACGTGTACACTGACCAAGAAGATGTCATTAGAATAGAACAAGGGGATATAACTGCTTGGTTTAAAATCAGGAAAGAGGCTTGTCAGGGTCGTATCATTTGATCATACTTATAGTCTTTATGCTGAGCAAAGAATCCAAAGACGCTGTACTGTATAAAGAAGACTGTAGCACCAGGATTGGAGGAAGACTTATTAATACCATGTGATAATGCAGGTGACACAACCTTGCTTGCTGAAAGTGAAGTGGATTGAAGTGGTATTGATGAAGATCAAAGACTAGCTTTCAGTGTAGATTACTTCCTCAATGTAAAGTCAACAACAACAAAAAACAACCCACAGTTGGATCAATAAGCAATATCATGACAATTGGAGAAAAGATTGAAGTTGTCAAGGATTTCATTTTACTTGGATTCACAATCAAAGCCCATTGAAGTTGTTGTTGCTAAGTAATATCGAGTCAGTTCCAACTCCTAGTGACCATGAATAGGATTTCTCAGGCTTTTAAATCTTCACAGGAGTAGAAAGGCTCATCTTGAAGCTGTTGTAGTTGTTAAGTGCCATCGAGTCAGTTCTGTTTCATAGCAAACCTGTATAGGGCTTCCAAGAAGCACCTGGTGAGTTTGAACTGCCAACCTTGGGAGTCAAACCAACTTGCAGTCGAGTGCTTATCCTACAGGACCACATCTAGAAGTAGAATAAATGACATATTACATTGGGCAAATCTGCTACAAAAGACCTCTTTAAAATGTTAAAAAGCAACAATGTCACCTTGAACACTCTAAGGTTCATGTGACCTAAGCCATGGTGTTTTCATTTGTCTCATATGTATGTGAAAGGAAGACTTGAGAAGAATGAATGCCGTTGAATTATGGTGCTGGCTAGAACTGCCAGAAGAATGAACAACTGTGCTTTGGAAGAAGTACAGCTGTATTGCTCCTTGGAAGCAGCAATGGTGCAATTTCATTTCATGTGCCTTGGACAGATATCAGGATTGACCAACCCCTTTAATAGGACATCATGCTTGGTAAAGCAACGAGAGGGTAGTGAAAAAAGAAATCCCTTAGCAAAATTAAATGGTGCAGTGGCTACAACAATGGACTCAAACATAGCAATGATGATGAGGATGGCTCAGGAGCAGTAAGCATTTCATTCTGCAGCACATGGAATCACTATGAGTTAGAACCCACTCAATGGCACCTAACAATACCAATAATAACATGGGGTGTAATGAATTGATAGTGTGGATCCCCTTAGGATGATTGGAGAATAAAAGGATTTTAGATTTGCTTGACATTTTGCTGTTTTCCTGCACAGTCATTTGAACTGCAAGGTCAGTGGTTCAAGATCACCAGCTGCTCCTTGGAAACCCTATACAGGGTCACTATGGGTCGTAATTGACTTGACGGCACTTAGCAACAACAACAACAACAACTTAATAGATTATAAATACGGTGCATAGTCTTATTGCGGTTCAAGATCATTTCTTCCCCTCATTTGTCCATTTATAAATAAGTATTCTGTGATAGGATGGGCTCTATGACCCCAGTGGCATATATACATTAAAAGTATGATCATGAGATCAGATGTCTCCCTCCTTTCCAGTAGATTTTTTAAAATTGTTATTGATGTATAGTGAACCCTTACAGTAGTGCAGTGGTTAAGCGCTCAGTTGCTAACCAAAAGGCTGATGGTTCAGATGGCCAGTCATCCCACAGGAGAAAGATGTGGCAGTTTGCTTCCATGAAGATTACAGCCTTGGAAACCCTGCGAGACAGTTTACTCGGTCTTCCAGGGTCACTGTGAGTCAGAGTCAAATCAACAGCAGAGGAATTTCTGGGTCATTGACGTCTGTTTTACAAACCACAGATTTCATCTGTTTGAAGTGTACAATTCAACGATTTTTAGTAAATTTACAGGGTTGTGCAGCCATCACTATAATCCAGATTTTTTAACACTTCTGTCACCCAAAAGAGATCCTTTGTGTCCATTAGCATTCACTCCCCAGTCTCATCTCACAACAAACAACCACTGCCTCTTAAAATTTGCCATTTGTGGGCATTTTATGTAAGTAAAATCACACAATATGTTGTGTTCTCTGTGTGACTTCTTTTACTTAGCATTTTAGGGATTCACCCATACTGTAGCTGTACCAGTGGAAATATGGACTCTAGTGTGGTGCTGTAGAATAAGCAGCAGGCTACTAACTGCAAGGTTGGTGGCCCAAACCCACCGTCCTCAGAAACTCGTATACAGGGTTGTTGTGCGTCAGAACAGATCAAGGGCACTTAATAAAAACAGCAACCAGCAGTTGATACCTTCATTGGTGGATAGTATTCCACTGTAAGGATCTATGTTATGTTTTGTTTATCCATTCACTAGTTCATAGACATTTGAATTGTTTCCCCTTTTTGGCTATTATAAAGAAAACCTCTGTGAACATTCAAATGCAAGTCTTTGAATGGATATATATGAGGGCGCTTTAAAAAGCTCATGGGAAAATGGAATTAAATGATAATGTACATTCATTACTCTTGGGTAGATACCTCAGAGTAGAATTGCTGAGTTATTTGGTAAATGTGTAGTTAACCTTTGAAAAAAGGGACTGTTTTCCAAAGTGGACATATTTTTTACATACATTCAGGCAATGGATATCATAGTTGGATTTTAATATCAAATTACATAATGAGAGATTAATTCATTTTTTTAAATTTCCACCTTGTTGTTGTTATGTGCTATTGAGTCGGTTCTGACTCATAGCGACCCTATACAGGGTTGCCGAGGCTGTAAATCTTTATGGGATCAGAAAGCCTCATCTGTCTCCCGCAGAACAGCTGGTAGTTTCAAACTGCTGACGGTGAGATTAGCAGCCCGATTTGTAATAATTATGCTACCAGAGCTCCTTTACCTGCTATCAAAAACAGCCCTGTGATGCAAAGTTAAAAACTCAGCTGTTAACTGAAATGTTGTTGGTTCAACCTCACCCATTGCCTCTGTGGGAAAAAGACATGGTTATTTGCTACCCATAAAGATTGTAACCTAAGAAACCCTATGGGATGATTCTAATTGTCACATGGATCACGATAAGTCAAAATCAACTTGCCAGAAACAACAGTCTAGTATTAGACAGAAAGTAGATGTTTAATAAATATGTTTTTGGATAGATGAATTCTCATTTTTCCATCTGTTTCCTAGAGAGATAATATATCCTCATACTATAATGATCATTGTTCTGGGATAATGATCATGGTGGCATTCACTACCACAGCAATAGCTAGTTAGAATATTCCATCTCAATTGAAGTTTCATTAGGGATCTATTGTCCCCCTCCAAAAAAAAAAAAAAAAAGAAAATGTTATGTACCATTTTTAATCAGTAATGAGAAATAAGCAAGTATGATGTGCTGAGATAATAGAAATACCCTAACAGAAAGATGTCTGTTTTCCCTAGGAGTCCAGAGGAAATGCAGGGGTGGATAAACAAGATTAATTGTGTTGCAGCTGTATTTTCTGCACCACCATTTCCAGCAGCCATTGGCTCTCAGAAGAAGTTTAGCCGCCCACTTCTGCCTGCAACGACAACAAAATTGTCCCAGGTAAGTCGTTGTTGACAGTGCTTTGTGAAGAAAGCTTACCATACATATTTAAATAATACTTTACATTTGGGGCAGAGACCCTGCCTTGGATGGGGGGCACTATTAAAATGGAACAGAATGTCATAGGTTGGTTTTATACTTCATGTTGGCAGTGGCACTGTTGACTCCAGGTTGGTAGGATACTTTCATTGAATTTGTTTTCTGAAAGTTTTATTGATTTACTAATCAGGCAATCATATTGGCTTGTTTTTTGGTTGTTTTTTTTTCAGTGACTGGCTAATGTTAGGGAGAAACCCTGGCTTAGTTACAAACTGGTACTCGTTCACACATGCGCTCACTCATTTTATTGAACATCTACCATGGTGTGTGGTGCTGTGGGTTAATGCGCTGGACTGCAAAGTTGGTTTGAACTTCAAAGTCAGTGGTTCAAGCTCACCAGTTGCTCCTCAGAAACCCTAAACAGGGTCACTATGGTTCGGAACCAACTCTGTGGCACTTAACAACAACAACCATGCCACAGGCTATTTGGTGCTGGGAATATAAGAATTTCCCAGGAATAGGAATCCTCTGCTTGCAGTACAGTGGGGAAGAGTCTTCCCTAGCCCTCAGTGCAGAGTTATGTTGACTAGTGGGTCTTCTAAACTAAACAAGACCAAGTGTCCAAGCATTCTGTTTCACTTCTCTCTTGATGTCAGATTGGTATTTCCAAAGCCCAAATTTTATGTCACTGTCCTACTTAATTAAGAACCCTGAAGTGGACTGGTAACCAAGAGGTCAGCAATTCAAACTCAATAGTCACTCTCAAAAACCCTGCACAGCAACCTTATCAGTCAGGACCAATTCAGCACACAACTACTTATACATAAAATGCTACTCACTAGAAAGACATTGGAGAGTCTCTAAAAGGGCCAAACTCCATGACACGATGCATATATACCATGTATCCATTTTAAACCTATCTGCGGTGTCTCTGTTGCCAGTGATTAGTTCAAATATTTTGAGAGCAACTACAAAGCCAGACTTTCTTACTAATTCAGCAGTGCCAATAGAGCGTCTGACAGTGATCAACCAGGACTTGCTATTAACTGGCCTCTCCACACATATCTCGGGTATCATGATTATCAGTGACACCTTTATTTGACAAGTATGTATTTTAGGTTCCAGACATACAAAGACAAGTGAAACGAAATCCCTGTCCTGAAGGAGTATTGAATATCAATATGTAAATAAGTGTAATTTGGTGGTGGCGATTATTGTTGTGTGCTGTCAAGTCAGTAGCGCCTCACAGCAGTCCTATGCACAAGCGAATTAAACACTGCCAGGTTCTCCAACCTTACAATCATTGCTGTATTTGAGCCCATTGCTGCTGCCACGGTGCCAATCCATTTGGTTGGGAGTCTTCTTCTTTTTCTCTGACCTTCCACTTTACCAAACATGATATCCTTCTCCAGGGACTGGTCCCTCCTGACAATATGTCCAAAGTAGGAGAGACAAAGTCTGGCCATCCTGGCCTCCAAGAAGCATTCTGGCTGTACTTCTTCCAACACAGATTGGTTTGTTCTTTTGGCAGTCCATGGTATTTTCAATATTTTCCTCCAACACCATATCTCAAACGCATCAATTCTTCCGTGGTCTTCCTTATTCACTGTCTGACCTTCACATGCATATGAGATTATTGAAAATACCGTGGCTTGGGTCAGACAAGTCCTCAAACTAACATCTTTGCTCTTCAAGACTTTAAAGAGGTCTTGTGCTGCAGATTTGCCCAATGCAATATGTCATTTGATTTCTTGACTGCTGCTTCCATGAATGTTGAGGATTGATCTAGCAAAATGAAGTGTTTGACAACTTCAGTCTTTTCTACGTTTTTCTTGATGTTGTTTACTGATCCAGTAATGAGGATTTTTGGCTTATTTACATTAAGGTACAACCCTCACCAAAGGCTGTGGTCTTTGATCTTCATCAGTTAATATTTTTAGTCCCCTTAGCTTTCAGCAAGCAAGGTTGCATCATCTGCATATTGCAGGTTGTTAATGAGTCTTCCTCCAGTCCAGATGCCATGTTTTACTTCATATAATCCAGCTTCTCAGATTATTTGCTCAGCATGAAGACTGAATAAATATAGTGGAAGAATGCAACCCTGGCACATACCTTTCCTAATTTTAAACCATTCCATGTTCCTTAGTTCTGTTCAAACAACTGCTTATTGGTCTATTACAGCTTCATCATGAGCACGATGAAATGTTTCGGAATACTCATGTTCCATAATGTTGTCTATAATTTTTCATGATCCACACAATAGAAAGTCAATAAAGCACAGGTAAACATCTTTCTGCTTTTTTCTGCTTTCAGCCTAGGTCCATCTGACATCAGCAATGATATCCCTCATTCCACGTCCTCTTAATGGATCTGTCTTTGTATGGTTGCATTATCTTTAGCAAAGTTTTACTTGTATGTGATATTAATGGTATTGTCCAATGATTTCTGCATTCCATTGGGTCGCCTCCCTTTGGAATGGGCATAGATTTGGAACTTTTTCAGTCAGTTGGCCAGGTAGTTATCCTTCACATTTCTTGGCATAAATGAGTGACTTCCTCCAGTGCTGCATCATTAAATATTTTGCCCAGTAAATCCATCAATGTTTCAAGATGAGGCTTGCATTTTTTCTTCAGTTCCCTCAGCTCAAGGAAAGCTGAGTGTTCTTCCCTTTTGGTTTTTAACTCCAGCTCTTTGTACTTTTCATTATAATACTGACCTTTGAAACTTTCTATTCACTCTTTTACCTCCTCATTCTTTAGCATCTCCATGCTGAAGAGCAAGTTTCAGAGTCTCTTCTGACATCCATTTTGGTCTTTTCCTTCTTTTTGTCTTCTTAATACCCTTTTGCTTTCGTCCTGTATGATGTTCTTGATGACACCTCACAACTCTTCTGGTCTTCAGTCTTTAGTGTCTAATGCATCAAATATGTTCTTCAGATGATCCCTAAATTCAGGTGGGATATATTCAAGGTCATATTTTGGTTCTTGTGGACTTGTTTTAATTGTCTTCATCTTTAGCCTGAACTCACATATGAGCATTTGATGGTCTGTTCCACAGTGTGCCCTGGCCTGGCTGATGATTGGAGCTTTTCCACCTTCTCTTTCCACAGTGTAGTCAGTTAGATTTCTGTGTACTCCATCTGGTGAGGTCCATGTGTATAGTCATCTTTTACGGTGTTTAAAAAAGGTATTTGCAATGAAGAAGACTTTGTTCTTGCAAAATTCTGTCATGCAATCTCCAACATAGTTTCTATCACCAAGGCCATATTTTCCAACTACTTCAGCATTTTTTTCCTATTCATTTCGTTAGGAGTTTTCCAGTTATTATTATTTTTCAGTAGACTAGTCTTTCTCACAATCACTCCTATAATCTGTGGAGAAGATAAGTTGAATCCTAAGAGAAATACTAATTAACTTGTCATTCTTGAAATGTTTACATAGCTTAGAACCACATAAGGTTTTTTTTTGTTTTTTTTTTTATCCTTCTTTCACTATAGAATTTATAGTTCTATTTGCTTTCTAATTTGAAAAATACGATACTGATCTATTTATATATGTTTTTGTTAAGTGCTATTGAGTTGATTCCACTCATAGCAACTCTATGTATAGTGTTCCCAAGGAGCAGCTGGTGACCTTGGACTGTTGACATTTTGGCTAGCAATCCAGTGCTTATCTAACAGTACCACACCAGTATGAGCTTACCCAAAACCCACTGTCACTGAGTCAATTCTGACTCTTGGTGACCCTGTATAGGGTTTGTGAGGCTGTAAATCTTACGGGAGCAGAAAGTTTCATGTTTCTCTTATACTGGGCTCATGGGTTTGTACTAACATCCTTGTACAGTATTTATCCTACAGCACCATATGCACTAAAAAGTCACTGTTGTTGTTAAGTGCCATCAAGTTGGTTCTGATTCATAGCAACCCTGTATAGGGTTTCCGAGGAGCAGCTGGTGGGTTTGAACCTCTGACCTTGGGGTTCACACTCCAGTTCTTATTTTTACAGTTCCATGCCCAAAAATTTAGCACATAAAAATGAATGTGTACATCTCTATCTGTGTGCTTTTATTTAGGAAGCCAGGGAAGTAAGCAATTGTATCAAGAAGGAAACTTGTATTATAATGTCTTAAACTGAAATTAATGATGGAATGCATACATTTTTTATATGCTCCTCATTTTGGTCATAAATCTATAGAAATACAAAAAATTCATATGTAGTATGGAGTCCTAGTATGGTGCTATAGAATAAGCACTGAACTGTAAGTTTGGTTTGCACTGCAATTCTGGATCCAAACTCACTGCTCACCAACTACTCCTTGGAAACACAACAACATTAGCAAAATGATTAATTCAGGATTTCAAATAAGAAAGGAATAACCAAAAAGAAGCATCCTCAATTGCACAGCAGACAAAATGGGCCAGCTTTTTCAGAAATTTAATTTATTTGAATAAGAATAAGAAGGAACTGCCCTACCCCCACCCAAAAAAGCATCTTTTGTAGGCTTCTATTTTCCATATAGAGAATGAAAAGATACTTAGAAGGTCTCAAAATTTCTTTCTAGATTTACCTCTGTATTATTGCTTTGCCCAAGTCATAGTTTTAACATTTGTTTTCTAAAAATGAGTAAGATTTTGAGAGTACTATGAGAATTTAGGATCAGACATGTAAACCCAAGCATATAACAATGACAAAGGATAAGTTAGAAAGAGGAAAGAGAGTTGGTTCATGCACAACCTGGTACAGATATTTGGGATACCACCTGATTCATAGTATACCTCCAGTGACGCCTGGAATATGTGTCTGGATGTGTGCATGACCTCTTCCATCCCTTACTGACTAACAGACTAGCTTGGATTATCTAGCACAGTATGTTTCAGCCTTAGCACTACTGTTGTTTTGTGCAGGAAAATTCATTGCTGCATGAGGTTATTCTGTAAATTGTGTGATGTATGTAGCAGCATC